ATTAATTGGATTTCACAAAAACAGTACAGTCTCACCTCTATGTATATGATATTTACAATCACAATTAACGTCTGTGAACTTTGTTGTGGTTGATAATTTATCATCTGTGTTAACTCTCTGTGTGTGCGCGTGTGTGTGTGTGTGTGTGTGTGCGGATGAATCAGTGTGTTACCTGAAGTGACCTCAGGCTGGCAGTTGTGGCGTGCTGTCAAAGCTGCCATCTTGCCATTCCTCAGAGCTGCTGCCCTCTTTTTCCACTACCTAAACTCTACAGCTCCCCCTGCCGAGCTCCTGGGTAAATACAACACTCTTCACTGGCATTTTAATTGTGCAGTTTGTAATTAAACAAGTAGTTCATTGTAATAATGTCTTACTTTAAACCACACCCTCATTTTAAACTTCGTCACATGTGATGTAGTTGCAGGTCCTGGTCAGTGGGAGGCGCTGTGCAGTTACCTCAGTCTTCCCTCCAATCTTCTTCAAGTTTACAGTAGTCAACGTGTGGTGATGGAACCACTTGTACACAGGTAATGAACACAGAAAACCATATGGAGTCACACGTGCCCCTGTGGTCCAACAGTGGTACTGCACTTACAATGGGTGGCTTTTTATTTACTTTTAGTATACGAAAAATGTTTGAACCAAATAAAAGTTAGCTGTGAATTGGAAAGAATGTATTAATCTGATAAAACACAACTTGATAGTAACAGAATAATTGTAATTGTTGAATAATTTTTGCTATTTATACTGTCTTTATACGTTTGTGTGTCTTATGTCCTGCAGGTGGTGCTGTCATCCAGGTGTGAGACAGACACTACTGGGCGGTGGAGTCATCGTCAGGTTTCCAAGAGAGTCCAATAGACTTATCGAGCTTCCAGAAGATTACAGTGTCCTTATCAACCAGGCCTCCAGCTTCACGTCAGTCACACACACACACACACACACACACACACTCTTCGACGTGTTAACAAAGATAATAGCTGCAAAATACCACAACTATATCATACTTCCGTTGCTTTTTAAAACTGTTTTCCATAATATTACCTCAGACTGGAGAGAGCTGAACAAAATGTAAAGTCAGAGTTTTAACTATGAGTTGTGTTTGTGAGTGTGTTAATCTGTGCGATGTGAACTTCACGTGCGCAGGTGTCCTCGCTCAGGTGGAGACAAGTCTCGGGCTCCGACCTTGTGTCTGGTGTGTGGCGCCATCTTGTGTTCTCAGAGTTACTGCTGTCAGACAGAGGTGGATGGTGAAGATGTGGGTGCCTGTACTGCCCACACCTTCACCTGCGGCGCTGGTCTGGGACTTTTCCTCAGGTAACACATACACACATACACACAGACAGTGAAATTGGTCAATGTGATGTTTATATTTTTTGTGTTATTAAAATGGTTTGTGTGTGTGTGTGTGTGTGTGTGTAGAGTGAGAGAGAGTCAGGTGTTGTTTGTTGCAGGCAAATCCAAAGGTTGTTTTTATCCTCCTCCATACCTGGATGACTATGGAGAAACTGACCAGGGACTGAAGTGAGTTTTTAACTCTTCTCTGTGATCGTCTGCGGCTCCTCGTCGTTGTTCTAGTGTCTGCAGTAAAACGATCCTTTTTCTTGACTGATTGTTGGTCTGTTGTTGTTGTTGTTACAGGCGAGGGAATCCTCTCCACCTGTGTCACGAGCGTTATCGAAAGATTGAGCGTCTGTGGCGACAGCACGGCGTGGCAGAGGTCATCGGTCACGCCCAAGAGGCCAATCAGACGCTGGTGACCATCGACTGGCAGCACCTGTGACCTTAAGCATGGTTTGACCTACTATTTGCCTAAATTCTTACATGAGAAGATGCTTGGTGATTGGCTGTCAGCATTTAGAGCCGCCTTTCACTTGCTGCCCCGTTTTACCCACTCACCTTCCCGCGGCCCTCCGAGTTTGTTTACAAATCACCAATCACAGAGCAGCAGTGACATGAAGCCCCGCCTACATAGCGCTTGACTGACAGATGATTAGTGAACATGACTCCTCTCAGGTTAAGCTTTTTATTAGCACCATGAGAAAAAAAATGGCCTTGTTTAGGACGCTGCTGCCGACTTTTGATTGGTGAAAGGTGTTTTTATTTAAGTTTGTTTTTATTTGTTTCTGATGGAGTCAAGGAAACACATGTTGACGTCGGAGACTTGGTTTACTTTTTTTTTTTTTAAATCGATGGGTTGAAAAGAACATCGATGACCTCTGACCTGTTAATATGTGAATTCTTGTACAAATGAGGAAATGTATGATATTATAGAAGAATTACAAAATAAAAACACTCAAAAATAATTTTTATGTTTCGCTCAATACATTAGAATTACAAGAAAAATTGTGATGAAGTCAGCGGCCCAGGAGGAAAAAAACTAGTACAATGATACACAATGGAGGGGATGGTGTATTTACTACCTCCACAGGAAGTAGAAATAAAAAATTCCAGTTCAATACTCCTCTTTCACAGACCGAGGAAACTGCATTTTCGCAGCAGGTTGTGATAATATCCTGAACACCACAGCAGCTGCTGTTCCACTGCTGCCCCGTGTGGTTAGTTTATGTCATCCAGGTAAAATCTAAAAGTATTTCAAACATTGACATCACAAAGTGACAACAACTTGTACTGTGATGAAAAAAAAAATGTCCTTCTTGGAGTTTGGTTTTGAGATAGTGACTGTTCTGGTGAGGATTTTGAAGAAGGACACTGAAATATTATGCTTTCATGGTTGAGGAATAAATCTCTACAGTTGCAGTAACAAACCCCAAAGGTTATGAAGCATGCAGTGAGGTCAGAGGTAGGTGGGCCAGCGAGGAGGCAGCTTAGCTCAGCATGAAGGGCTTTATCAGTAAGTGGATCTTCTGATCTGCTCTTAATTGGATCATCAGCTTTAGGCTGACGTGGACAAGCTCTTTCCCACTCACACCCGAGCTCTGTCACAAGTCCGCTGTTGAACCTCGACGTGACAGTGGCCTTGTGGTTTGATGGGTAGCCCCCGGTGCCCCCCTGGTGGTACGAACTGATCATCATCATCAGTTCGTCGTTATGGGTCTAAAAGCGGGAGTCGTATCGCGGAGCGCCGTAACCATGAACCTGTGAGACTGCGGACAGACTCCCAGGACCGTCGCTGTCGTTCGCCAACCTGAGACTGTTTCTGACCTTACACTGTGTTGAATTTACCCGAACCAAGACGGCAGGATGCCGTTCATGCCAGTCAAGTTTAACCTGCAGAAGCGGGTGAAGTTGGCACAGGGGCTGTGGATGCTCTACTGGCTCTCAGTCGTCGTGGGAATCGTTATCTTCAGCCTCGGCATCTACTTCAAGGTGGAGTTGCGGAAACGGAGTGAGATGATGGACAACAACGAGAGCCACTTGGTGCCCAACCTGCTCATCCTGGTGGGCTTGTTGGCCTGCGGTGTCAATGGGTTCGGGGGCAAAGTGTGCCACGACTCCCTGGACCCCATGAAGTATGCCAAATGGAAGCCCATGCTGAGGCCGTACCTGCTGTCGTGCTGCGCCTTCAACGCGCTGCTGCTCCTCACGGCGTTGCTCTGCTTCCTCATGCAGTTCTCCGTCTACCTGACTCTGGCTGAAGGCTTGAAGAACAGCATCAAGTTCTACAAGGACACGGACACTCCGGGACGCTGCTTCATGAAGAGGACGTTGGACATGACTCAGATTGAGTTCCGCTGCTGCGGCAACAACAACTACAGAGACTGGTTCGAGGTTCAGTGGATCAGCAACCGATACTTGGACATGAGCAACAATGAGGTCAAAGAGTGAGTACTCCGAATTGTCGTTCTGCTTAATGGTCTGGGTTTGAGTCCTTCTTGTTTATTGAATTCCGTGATGAGTTCACATGAAAAAAAAAA